GCTTTTTTTTTTTTTTTTTTCTTTTTAATTCCTTGAACATACTAACTTATTTAATTATTTTTCTTTTAACACTATTATGTGGAGGTGGGTCTGTTTCTGTTGCCATTTTAAAATCTTGATTTTCAGTAATATTTTGGCTGGTCATTTTTAAATTCTAGGCATTTGATATGAAAATTGATAATAACTTGAATTTCTGGATAATATCTTTCATTTAAGATATACTTTGGCTCCTGGCATGCGGCTAGGCTAAAACCCACACAAACTCATATTGTTTTAATCGGATCGGGGTGACATGATTTGAAGCTATACTTCCCTCCCTGTACACAGCGGGGCCATTTTTGCTTTATCTTTATGCCTGTGGTATAGTCCTTTGGAGTCTATGCAGATGCCTAGTGTGTTTCTTGTTCCTCTTTGGCAGGCCCTGTCTGTCTCTGTCTCTGTCTGTCTGTCTGTCTGTCTGTCTCTCTTTTTCCAGTACCGGGAATTGAACTCAGGACCAACCTTGCATTTGTAAGGCAGACATGGTGCCACTGAGTGAAATCCCTAGCCCTCTGAATCTCATTTTTGCGCCCCTACTTTCAGATATCTTGAAAGATCTGTTCACTTTTTCAGTCTCTCAGCTAATAAGACTGGGTTTCACCTACTTCTTGTAGAGCTCAGCCCTGCAAATTAAAACTGTTCGACAGCTCTGCATCACTTTAAAACAAATTACCTTTTCTAGTTTTTCTTTAGACAGATGGTTTGAAGCAACCTACTCCATAGTAATCAGGAGTAAAATGCCCAGTTATATTCTGGAATTCATAATTCTCTAGATTATAGGGGATATCACAAGTATTAATTAGCAAATACTGGATATTTCAGCAGTAATGTATCTGCAGTGAAATGCAGGAATATTTATCTTGCCTATTACAGTGTAAGTTTTCTAGTGAAAATCAGTGTGATATGTTAGAGAACTTGATTTGGAGTAAGTCATGCTCTATTGTTTATAATTCAATCTGTAGAGGAAATAGACTTGTTCTTCCACACAGCTGCATGTTTGATTGGGTCCTAACATCATTCAGATCCTCTTTTTCCCAGTTGCACTCATTGTTCTCTCTGATGGGCTTGTATACTCTCATACTCAGGTTTGAATATGAGGCATATTTTTAGGAAGGACATTTCCTGACCCAAAAATTTATGTCGGGTTTAGGTCAGATAAATGAGCTTTTTAGTTTTGAATTACATAGACTCATTTGTGTGATGATTTGATTAAAGTCTTTTTTTCCCTTCTGCTAGACTGAATTCTGAGATTAAGAATGATGTCTTTTGTATCTTGACAAGTTGATCTTTTTCTAGGTCAGTGTTTGGAAGTGTCTTTATTATATGTAGGTGATCAGTTAATAGATTATCAGTTGTTAGGCAGTCAGTTAATTTTATGAATGAAAAAACATAATTAAAGAAGGTAAATAAATGATGTACTGATAATAGTACTGGTAGTGATGAGAAATGAAAGGCCTGTTGCTTTTGTGTAAAGCCATTTTAATCAAATACTGGCTTTGTGTAATATACTTGAAGTTTTGTAGATATTACATGTACAATAAGTAAAATTCCTTGGAAATTTATTGCTGTGCCCATATTGGGATTCATTTCCTATTTCTTCATAGTTATTGTAGTTTTGTTTTGTTTTTTGGTACCGGGAGTCAAACTTGTGACCTTGCACTTGTGAGGCAGGCAGCAGTACCACTGAGCCTGTTTTCTAAGTTTTAAAAGCAGTAGAATTTTAAGTAATACATCTATCATTCAGATGGGCCAGTCATTCTACTGCAAAGATTAATTGGAATTAAAAAGTCTTGAAGATTTTTAAAAATCTTGAGTACATGTGAGTGCACACATGTACTCAGGTATTGTGGTTTATTGTACCAAGGGAAATTGAACGTGGCCTTATCTGGCAAGTGACGGTGTCACTGAATCTTGACCAACCAAGAAGTGTTCATTAAATGAGAAATAAATAATATTTTATTTAAATGTATGTTATTATGAAAGTTGTTGCTAGCATCTTTGTGGATTTACAAATAGTAATTTGCCTGAAGCCCAGGATGATTTGCAAGAAGAATTTATAAAGGCAGATTGGGGCTGTCCATATTTGTTACCCTTTGGCATGAAGCTCATCAGAAATGTTTAAGTAGTTCTATATAATTTTTTTCTATAAAAAAGTTCATAGTCTGATATCTACCCCTTACTATGTATTTCAGTATTCCTGTTTTCAAAATAGAGATGGTAATTGTACTAATTCAATAGAACATAGTTAGGGTTGAATGAATTAAAATTTGTCTATACTTAGAAAAGTGCCTGGTACATAGAAAGATCTCTGTTGTTGTTGCTTTTATTTTATCAAAAAAACTTTAAACATTATAATTATATTACTTTTAGCAAGAGTAAAATTAGTAAGACGTAAACTTATTCTGTATAATTGAGGTTTCACCTAAATATGCTATATGCCGCATAAAAACAGATTTGAAATTTGTATAACGTTTTTATGACTTGCAAATTTATAGAACTTAAATCTCCTAATTTTTGTTTTCTTTTAGATCCTCTAGAAAAATTTCAGCTATAGCCCTTGGACTAGAAGCTGAAATCATAGAAGCTGTGTATGATGCGTTAGGGTATTGAAGAAAAATAATTTTTGAATTATATATTTGGAATATAAGGAAGGAAAGGTGACTGAAAATGGGGCGGAAGAAAATACAAATCACACGCATAATGGATGAAAGGAACCGACAGGTAAATAAAACTTAATATATTTATTTCATTGACATAAGAAATCTTTAAAAAGAACATAGGATGCAATGGTTAAATTTCTCTTACATGTAATTTTGTCTTAAGTATTTTCAATTCCAGAATAAATGAAAACTTGTACAATCATAAAGTTGTGTTTTTGTTTTTTATCATGTATCTTAAAGAAACTCTATTACAGAACTATCAGGTATGTTATAGATAAATAGCATAAATAGATGGAATTCAAATCATTGCATTCCTGCCATTGCTGTTCCTTGTATAGATTTTTTTCATATCTAGTCTTTGATACATTGATATGAATATATTCTACTCAGCTAAATTTTCTGGTTAACCAGTAAAGAATGAAATATTTTTGTACCTCTTCTCGTCACTGATATTTCAAAAAAATGTATGTATAATGTCTCTTTACAGTATTGGTGTCAATAAATCCTTAAAACTTCAGAAAAACTATAATGATACTGATGCATGAAGAGACCAAAAATTGTGTTTAGAGCTGATTGGCAAACTGGTCCACAGGCTTGCTGCATGTTTTTCTAAGTGGAGCTTTGGTAGAACACTGCCATGCCCATTGTTTTCATATCGTCTATGGCTGCTTTCACATGACAGTAGAGAGGTTGCTACAGAGACTGTATGGTCAGTTCATGGGCCTAAAATCTTTGGTCTTTGATGCCGTAAAAATGTTTGCCAACCTCTTGGTTGTTTAGAGAAAAGGAAAAAAAATCACAGAATATTATAAATGAACTACTGTTCAAAATATGCAAGAAGGAGAGATGCTATCTCTGGAAAAGTTGCATATTTGTAGAAGTTTCAAGATCAATTCTGAAAGCTTACTAGGAGCAGAACAACACTGAAGATGTGTTCTGCACAGAGTAGTAGTTTACCTGAATACAGATATAATTGGAGACAGATCTCAACAGCTAGTGAGTCAGTGGGAGTGATTAGGGTCGCCCATGGACTGAACTGAAGTGGGCTCATGTTTCAGCTCATCAAAGTTGCTTAGGAAGGGTGGAAGGCCCAGTCAGTGTGGTAGGTTATGAAGGATGTTAAAATAGGGAAGACATAAAATAGCCATTCTGTCTTTCTAAAGGAATGATTCCAAGCAAGGCTCCAGGTACACTTCTCTTCACAAATCTCAAGGTCATGACACATGGAAGGAGAGGCTTGCATTATGAACTCATGCAGTACAAATGTCATAAGGTAGTAGTGGCAAACTTGTGGCCCTCATGTTTTTCTTTTAAGACAAAATGTGTTAATGCATGAGTTGTTTTATCTAAACAAAAACCTCAGTTTTCAGATTTAATTACAGTGTTGATGCTGTGCGCTAAGTAAGTGGGTCTTGGTTTGCAATTTGAACACCTGTCTCTCTCAAAGGTTTGCCATCATACAATCAGAAAATAGCAGAGCTCATAAAATCCCTGAGCTCTCATCCCACAGATAGTCCAGTGAAGCTGCGCCCACTTTAAATACAGCTGTCTGTGGGACTACATTTTTAGAGGAAGTAAGGAGAGATAGGAATATATAGGTAAATGTAAAGTAACTTCCTAAGTTCAGGAAATGACTTTGTTAAAAAGGTGATATCTGCTGCTGTAGCTGAGTAATTAAAATTAGCCTGTATCTGCACGTGACTTATCTGATTAGTCAAGCTTTTCTATATGCTGCCACATGGGGTAAGGGCTCTCTGAATTTCTCTTTCAAGAATTTCAGCAAAAAATGAAGAAGAAACATAGATGTGGTTGGGCAGTTTTGATAGATTAGGTAGAGACACAATTTGGCACAAACTTAAAATGATACCTGAATTTTACTGATTTTTGAATTTGTGCATTCTTAGTTTAAAATTTTTCTTGGATAAAGGAGGAAAATTATTTCTTATGTCATTTATTTATGTATTTATTTTGGTACTGGGGATTGAACTCGGGTCCTTGTACTCGCGAGGCAGACAGCAGAACCATTGAGCTAAATCCCCAGCCCCTCTTATGTCATTTATTTATCAAAATTCAAATATGTACAATATGCAAGGGACCTTGTCCTGGAAACTCATTAAAAGCATATGGCTTAGAAAGGACATTTATGTATATGGCAAATAGAGGTAAATTCAAATATGAAGAAGTTTATAGAAGAAACCACTGACTTCTAGTGGAGTCATTCAAGAACCACTTTGGAAGAATAGCAAATAGTTATGAACTACAGATATGAGATAGCCACAAAAAGTAACACTTCTAAATTATGGGAATGGCACATGAAGAATCTTCAAGGTGACAGTGTCACGTCTTACAGAGGTACTTAACTGCCTTTCTACTTGTTGGGCTCTGGTGAAGCCTTGTGTTTGTCCTTTCTTATCTAACAGACTCTTTTTAAAAGTAAACTTTGTAGTAAAGTATAACAAAACAGTTCATACATTTTAAGTGTGTGGTTCAGTGAACTTTGGCAGAAACAACATGGCCATGTAGCCAGCATATTCCAGTGCACCACCCCAGTGGTACTCTGTCCTGTCTCTCAGTCAGTATCTCCCTGATCCAAGCATAGTCGCCAACCATAATGTAATACTATATATTAATTACACCTTTTGTTGTTTTTGTATGAATGATGTGTTCTTTTGTGCATTTATGTTTATGAAATTCAGCAGTGTTATTGTTGCATATAGATATGTGTATATTTGTATATATACCCAATATATTTGTACATTTTAATTGGTGTATAATCCATTGTGAATAGAACATAATTTATATATTAAAATTTTCTACTGTAAATAGATATTTAGGTTGTTTTCTACTTAGCTACTATTATGAAGAATGTTGTGTTGAATATTCTTACTTTGTACACATGAATAGTTGGGTATATATCTAGGAGTACGGTTACTGAGTCATAGGATATATATGTGATTGGTTTTAGTAACAGTTAACCATCTCAAGATGTTGCACTTTACTGTTAGCAGGCAGTGTGTAAGTTCCAGCTGCTCTGAGTCTTCGTCAGTACAGGTAACTCTTCTTTTCATTTTAGCTGTTCTGCTAGGTGACCAATAGTATCTTAGCAAGTTTGCGTGATGTCTGATGTTGTTCACCTTTTATATTTTTGTTGGCCACCTAAATACTACTACTTTGTATATGATTGCCTATTCACTTCTTTACCTATTTTTTTCTAGTGGGTTTCTCCCCTCCCCCTACCTTTTGATGGTACTAGGGATTGGTACTCAGTACTTCCTACTGAGCTATATCCTCAGCATCCCTTCCTTTTCCTCCTTGAGATACAGCTTTGCTAAGTTGTCCAGGCTGAACTCAAACTTGTAGTTCTCTTGCCTCCGCCTCCCATAGTTCTGAGATATAGGCACTATACTTGATTGCAGTCAAAAGGCTGAGAAGTGATAGGGATTACATGTGTATATCATCACACTGACCCTTTTTTTTATTAATTAGTATACAGTACTTTATATATACTCTCATACATACACCAGGATGTGATTTTTCCATTATATGCATTATAAATATTGTCTCTTCTTGCCTTTTTACTTGCCTAATCTTTTTGTTTTATAAGTAACATTTTGTTCATATTGTCCAATTAAAAAATATTAAAATATTAAAAAATAGTTTTCTTGCTGTATTGCCCACGATACTCTTGAACTTGAGCCCAAGTGATAATCTGACCTCAGCCTCCATAGTATCTGGGACGAAAGGCATGAGCCACTTGGCACAGTTTACCTTTTTGTTTTTTCCTTTATGGCTAAAGCTGTTTATGAATCTTAACAAATCTCAGAGCTATGAAGATAATTCTGTGCTTTCTTCTACAAATCTTTTTGTTTTACCTTTCATGTTTTAGATCTCTTATCCATTGGGAATTTCTTTGGGGTTTTAGTTTGCACTGTAAGAGACTGGCTTTGATGCTTTCCAAATGGATATTTAGTTGACTGGGTACACAACTTCCTGCATTTTTTTTTCTTGCTGCATTTGTTAGGAGTTAAATAACAATGTATGTTTGGGCTGTTTCTGGACTCTTGATTATTAATTATTTGTCCTTCATCAAAGGCACACTATTTTAATTACTATAATTTGGTAGTATAGTTCTCTACTATTGTTTTTGCAAAGCTAGCTAGCTGTTTTTTCCCCTTTTCATTTCAAAATGAAGCCAAGTGTCTGTTAGTGTTTATCAAAGAAAAAATAACTAAAAGTGTTACTGGAATTTAGATTTTTTTCTGCTGAGTGAGTGTGTGGATCTCTTTAGGGTTAATTTAAATCTTTGCAATGTTAAGTCTTATAATCCATGAACATGTTTACCATTCATTTGATTTGTATTAATTTCATTTGATTTGTATTAATGCTTGATACTTTTCCGTGTACAGGGCATATCTTTTATGTTATTTACTCTTAGGCATTTGTTTTTTTAGTGTTACTGTAGTTTTTCTCAAATTTAATTTTTAAACTGCTGCTAAATACTATGCATAAAAGTATAGTTCTTTTTATATGAACTGTATAACAAAATCTTGCTGAAATTCATTTCTAATACTTTATATATACATTCATGTATAAGGTTTGTATAAAACGTGATTCATTTTTCTTGTATATATACCTAGATGTGGAATTTCTGAGTCATGAGGTAATTAAATGTAAGTTTAACATTTTGAGAAATTGCCAGGCTGTTTGTGACTGTACTATTTTACATCCCACCAGCAACGTTTTACATCCCACCAGGATTCCACTTTTTTCACATTCTAGCCAACACTTTTTATTATTTGTCTTTTTATTTCCTTAGTTATCCTAATTGGTTGGTGTACTATTATCTTGTGATTTGGGTTTACATTTCCTAGGTGGCTAACAATGTTGAACATCCTTTGATGCTTATTGAATATTTGCATATCTTCTTTATAGATGTGTAAGTCCTTTGTCAATTTTTAATTATCTCTTGAAATTATGTCATCTTTATTTTGAAAGCATTTTATTGAGGGATTCTAGATTTTCAGTCTTACTACTTTGAGGCAGTTGTCATCTCACTGCCAT